GAGACACAGCGCACTATACGAGGGCGTGTGCGAGTCACGACAGCGCCACTACGAGGCGTGCTGCGAGCATGACAGCGCCCTACGAGGCGTGCCTGCGAGCACGACAGCTCACTCGAGGCCGGGCTGCCGAGCACCACAGCGTACCACCTACGAGGTCGTGCTGCGAGCACCACAGTCCCTACGATGGCGCTGACTGCGTAGCCACGGACAGCGCCACCTACGAGGCGTGCTGCGAGCACCACAGCTCCACCCACTGAGCGATGCGTTCCACGTTGCGTCGACGTCGTCCGGCGGCGTCGCTGGAAGCTCTGAACGATGACTCGCTCGCGTACGACTACTCTACCTTCCTCGACGCCGCCCCCCCCCCCCCATCGTCTGCAGTATCTCGGCACTCGACGTTTGTCGCGCGAGGTTTGCGGCCCGCGCAGCCGTCGCGCGACAGACGTCGTACAGCAGAGGGTTGATCGACACGCAGCGACGAACACGACGTCGAACCAGCGCTCGGGAAGAGTCGCAGCGTGGTAGTCGACGACGTTGCCGGTCCGGCGCAAATGGTCCTTCGGAGTTCGTCGACGAGTGCGGTCGGTTGTCGATGACGGAGGCAGTGTACTCGTCGTCGCTAGCCGTCGTAGAGGGCGCTGTCCTTCGGCGATAGCGCCGACGTCGATGTGATGCAACAAAAAAAAAAAAAGAAAAAATGAAAAAAACCCCGTCGCTCGGGCACCTGACCGGGCGAGCTTAGACGTTGCCAGTGCGGCGTGCCTGTTGCGGGCAACAGCGAATCGGTGACATGCTCACGTGCGGCGAGGGAACGTCGTGCAGGTGAAATGTCGAGGGTTATAAAATGATTGGTGTTAAAACGAACTTTTTTAAGAGACTTCTGAAAAGTTGATTTTAACAATGGTCATTTAATTTTGAAATAGGTGATTTGAACTACTCTTATCTGTAACTGCTTGACAATTGCTTTGGAGAATTGCTTTGTTATTGGATACAGAGTTAAATGACGTAGCTTAGGTTCTAGGGTTATTTTCAGCCTAATTTAGGTTTAATTGCGTAATAAAAAGTTTCATGGTTCAATCACATTAGAAATATTTTTAAAGAAATGTTTAAAACTATCGAACTCAGTTGATATACACGACGGTGAGCGCCACTCAAAGCGCACGATATGATAAGTTGCGCAGAACCAATTATCTAGCAAGGGTCTACGACCGAGGGTATTCTCTTATTTTTTCAGTTAAAGCAAAGGATTGTAATACTCTTATAACGACATATAGTTTCAGTTATATATATGGGATAATTGCTCTAAAATGATATCGGTGCGGTTAAATAGAGTTTGGTTATTAAATATAATTGCCACTTTTGATGATTTATAGCATCGGTCATTTACTGCAAAATATTAAATGCAAATACTGCAACTTTTTCGGGGTGGCAGCACGGTCGCGGGTGTTCATGCGCGTTCAAATTTCGTAGCGTTGATGTCGACGTCGTCCGGGGCGTCGCTGCGAAGCTCGTGAACGATCTCGCTCGCGTACGACTCTCTCGCCTCCTCGACGATCGTCTGCAGTATCTCGCACTCGACGTTGTCGGCGAGTTTGCGGCCCGCGTAGCCGCGCGCGACGAGACGGTCGTACAGCAGAGTGTTGTCGACGCGCAGCACGAACACGACGTCGAACCAGCGCTCGGGGAAGAAGTCGCAGCCGTGGTAGTCGACGACGTTGCCGCCGGCCGCCATCTTGTCCTCGAGTTCGTCGACGATGCGGTCGTCGTCGATGACGGGGCAGTCGTACTCGTCGTCGTAGCCGTCGTAGAGGGCGCTGTCCTTCGCGATCGCGCCGACGTCGATGTGATGCAACCCCGTCCGCTCGGCCACCTGACCGGCGAGCGTAGACTTGCCCGTGCCGGGCGTGCCTGTGCGGAAACAAGCGAACGGTCACATGCACGTGCGGCGAAGGGAACGTCGTGCATGTGAATGTCGGGGTTATAAAATGAATTGTTTAAAACGGCTTTTTTTTTAAAACTCCTGAAAAAAGTTTAAACAATGGTCATTTAAATTTTGAAATAATATTTGGACTACTCTCCTCCTGTAACTGCTCTGACCAATGCTTTGGAGAATGTTTGTTATTTGGATACAAGATTAAGTGTGTGTGTCACGTGTTGTGGAAGGCATCAGACCGGTCACCAAAATTTTTGTGGTAGTCGCTGTACTTTTATCACAAACTTAAACTCTATAGATATATAACTATATATAATATATAACTATGAAATACAATGACGTTATTCCAATATCAATGTCTCAGAGGTTGTATCATGAAGAAGTGAATAAGAATGCCACTGAACTGCGACTACGTAATTGGACTAAAATACTATGCGAAGTTTCTGTTTACCTGTGATCAGGATGTTGGGTGCTTTGCGGGCACTCGCAGCCATGATATTCCCTCTACTTATTTCAACTCGTGTGGAAACAGCGATCGAGCCAATCACAAGTCTGAAAAGCAGAACTCCTCGTTAACAATCGTACGTTACAAAGTGACGACAAATTTTGCAGTAATGTTCACGTCGGTGGGGATGGCGAAAGAGAAAAATAAGATATTAACTGCATTGCAAAACACAATAGATCACGAAGGAAAATTATATGGTTACCCATCGAATTATGAAGCAACTGTGAATGCCAGGGTTCGAATTTAACATTTTTCACCAGGTGCACATTGTAAAAGTAAATGTACCAATAAAATCACTCTATAATCGCATGCTTTCTACTCATATCACATCAATTTAACATTTCTCCTAAAATATCTACTAATTACTACAAATTAGAAATTAGCTGGAATTGATTATGCAAGCCAGTGCCCTCACGTAGAGCAAAAAAAATAGGCGCACGACAAAATTTAGGCGACCGCGTCATTTTCGAACCCGGCACGCACAACTGTTTCCACCCCCTCGGCTCTTTACAAATCGTAAGAATCTCTTGGATACTTACATCTACAGAACGTCTCAGCCACGCAAATTACTCCTCTTGCTGCCCATTCTTGCTGTAAACTCATGGCGAGGGGGTGGAAAGCGTTGAGATTAGGCTTGGCTAGCTATGCAGGGATTCCTCTAGCTCTCTCACTAAGAAAGCATTTCTCTACCTAGGGCGTGTTTGTTTGGTCGGATCCACGGATCTCGATCCACTGGATCGAACCCTGGACCAGACAAACGGAAACTCACTTTCAACGGTTCACGTTTCGCTGTGACCTATCACGGGATGGTTCATAACAAAGAACAAGCTGTGATTGGCTGAGGCGCAGGCCACCATATTGGATCCCGTTCGAATCCACCTCGCTAGCAGGGTTGGGTTCGGTGGATCCGACCAAACAAACAGTCAGATCAACGAATCCATTGGATCGAGATCCGTGGATCAGACCAAACAAAACGCGCCCCTAGTCAGAATTTGCACACGCACACCGTGCCTTCAACAGTACAGAACCCGACAACCAGCAAGATTTCCTCGTACGTGTCATCACAAAATACGATTTATTTCAACTTAATAGATGAATACAGTTATATGTGCAAATAGTCGATTATCAAACACACCCACATTTCGCGAACTTAATACAGATTGTCGAGTAACTACAACATTTTATCTACAGTAATATCAGGAGTGTATAATATAGATATATCTATCTATATAATCTATATTATACACTCCTGGTAATATCTATTCCTCAATCTCAAGAAAATTATCATCAAATCTAATGCCATGTTATCAATGTAATATCAAAGTTTATCAAGCCTCCGCTAGGTTAGGATTTACATAAGAACAAATCACAATGCGAGTTATTTCCATACTATACTTTTAGGATTCACATGTCTTAGGTCACATTTCTAACCATCTCTCTCCAACTATCAATGGAACAGAACAACCCAAGGCAAGTCATAATATTCCTTATATTGATAATCAAGGTTCTAAATCAGCACAATTCCTCTAATGGAATTCCAGGTTCCATCTCGCACGTCGGCCACCCGGGGGGCAGCACCGTACCCGCGCCATCACTCGGTCGTGAACAAGGCGGTTCGGTGGCGCAGCCCGCCGTTAGTGGCGCCACCTGGCGACGGGATGCGGCCGCCCTGCGCCATCGCCGCCGACGACACGAAAAACATCGGAACGAACGACACTCGCCCGCTGCTCCAGCACACCGTCAGCAGCGCCCCCTTCTGGAAGCCGGGGCGGAAGGCGATCGCGCGCGGCGACTCTCCCGGCTCCCCTCCCACGAGTCCGCATGGCGTCACGTCGACGACGGGGCGAACGCGCGTTCGGAACACGGCCACGAACCGCTGGTCTTCGCCGCGGAACATCACCGCGAGCCGTTCCCCGCTCTCGTCCCACGCCATATCGCGCACGGCGCCCCCTACAGTCGTCTTCTCGCCGTCGTCGTCGACGACCACCTCCGACAGGTCGACGGCTGCCACCGCGGTCGCCGCGCCACCGCCGATCGGGCGTCCGTCGTCCGGCGGCGGCCGGAACTTCAGGTAGAAGATCGTGGGTTCGCAAAGCGTCGCGAAGAAGAGCGTGCATCCGTCGGGGCTCCAGCAGGCTGCCTGGCAGCGGCCGGGGACGTCCGTCCATCGCTCGCACGTCCACGCGCGCGTCTCCCACACGCGGAACAGCGACGACGGCGTCGCCGCGATCAAGCGAGCGCCGTCTGGCGCGGGCGACCAGCGCGCGTAAGCCGACGGCCAGCCGCCGACCGCTCCACAGTGGCGCGCCCCTCCTCCCCGCGCTGGACGTCCCAGCACGATCAGCGCCCACCGTCGGCCGCCGACGCCGACACGATCTGTGTTTCTGCCCGGGGGGCCGCTGCCTTGCCGTTGTGCGGGGACGGCGCGCAGTCGGGTCTGTAAGCAGCGCCCCCCTGGGTCCCACGCGACGCCGAGCGGGCAGTGGCCCGGCGCGCGCAGCGCTGATGCGCCCGCCGGACGACGGACATGCTCGACATGCGAGGTCGGGTCGAGCGTCCAGACCGACAACGCCGCCGCGGCATCGCCACCGCGAGCGTCGACGCGCGCCAGGGGCCCGCGGAAGCCCTCGCGACGCCGCCGCTGCCGCGTGCCGGAGGACGGGGGCGAGACGCGCCGCGCGTCATCGACCGACGCCACTAGGAGTCGTCCGGCAGGACGATGGCGAGGCGGCCGACGTGAGGGTGCACGCGATCGCGCGCAGTGAAGCAGTGCCCGCTCGAGTTCCCACGCCCTCTCCCGTGCGCGAGAACCTCGGCGACGATCGCCGCAGCTCGGCAGTCAGCGCCGGTCCGGGGAACAACGCGCCGTGCGCGGGCGACGATCATCGGCGCCGCCGCCACGCCACCTTCAGCGACGCGCACCAATCGCCCCCGACGCCGGCGCCTCGCGTGCCAACCAGCTCCTGTAGCGCCCCCTGAAGGTCGGTCTTCCCTCAGCGTTGGCCGCGCGCCGCCACGCCGCTCCTCGCGCTCCGAGGATACGCCGAGCGGGCCGTCCGCCGGCGCGGACGCCGGCAAGCGTCGGCCGTGCGACGAAGGATGCGCGGGTAGTCGTCATCGTCGCCGCTGCGACCCGGAGCGAACATGCGGAGGTCGTTGATCTCGGAGGCGCGCGCCGACACGAGGCTGCTGTTAGTCTCGCACCACGGTGACGAAGCCGCGTGCAGGGCGGCACGGACACCACGCGGCGTTTTTTTTTTTTTTTTTTTTTTTTTTTTTTTTTTTCTCAGCATGAGAACACTGCATGGCAGCGGACTTACTGGATTGCGTGGGAGGTCAAAGGTCGGTTGGTTGGTCGGGTCGGCTGCAGCTTCACTCAGTCGCGGTTGCCGTGGTCACCGGTGATCGTGCGAAAGTGACGACAATGCATCCTGGAAATATGAGGTAAATGACGATTGTAAAGAATGATTTATTATATAGGTATTAAATCTGTATTATCAATATAAATAATATACTGTGCTCACAGTCAGTATCTATCAAATGAATTATGTTGTCAAATAACATGACAACATTGGCCAATGACAATGTTGCACAACCTTAATTAATTTTGGACCCCGCAAATGTGTTTTTGCGAAAAAATTTGCGATGTAATTATTAACGATATGTGATAAACTATAATCCGGGGTGCTCAACTGAGATTGGGCCAACAATGTCAACACTGTTGTTTTGAAAACCGAATTGAGTTTTTTCTGCAGAGTGCACAAAAAATAAATGCCAATGGCACCATGCTGTACCACACCAGTGGCGCTGATAGGTTCTATGTGATGTGGTAACTTGACAGAGTGTACCCGGTATGTATTACGACATCAGTTGCTGAAGTCAGGTACGGTGGGACAAATGCAGGGTACACAGCGACATATGCGTATAATAGCCTCCGAGGAACTTTCCGATATAGTCGAAGCAGTACCCAGGGGTACCCTCCCTATAGTAGCCCTGGCCCTGGGGACATAGACCTATAACCAGTATGACTCAGTATGAGCACGGAGTGGCCAGCTAGTGTAGTGTGCAAAGAAGTCGAATATTCTGCTGATATAATTATGCGGCTTATGTTACAAGGAACACCAACACTTTAAACCTATATTATGCAATGTTGGCGTTGAATAATCAAGTAGATTATAAACTGTCCGATTGAATTTGTGTGATTGCAAGAAAGTTATGGCGAAAGTTATGATCAACTGTTTCAGTGTTTGGCATGTGCGTTTTATGAACTAAGATTCTAATCTAACTGACATTAACTCACAGCTGTGCTATACTTTCATGACAAGTCACGATAATTCCAACAGACTTCTACGTTATCCTATCTTTACCATAAAGTTTATGCGAACTAAACCGCTCTTGACTTTAGGCTTTACATTGCCATTGGAACTTCAAATTGTTTTCGTTGAAATAGCACCATGTTACCGCAAGAGGACACGTTAGTCGATACTGTGAGGTAGCTATGATTGGGTAGTTCCCAAGCCAATGTGTAACCAACCGTTCTAATTTTCGAATTACCGCAACAGCCCCCGACCTAAATGGGTGACAATGACAGAAGATTTACCAAGATTATATGAACAGTTTCAGAAATATCCTAATAATGTCCCACCATACCGTGCAAAATTTATAGGCTATAACACTTCGCATATTATAGATAAATCTTCTTGAACGCGTTTTCAATTAAAACAGCCAAATACTGCCAGTATACGTCGACAAACGGCCGTTCCGAAGACGTGTAGGAAAGAAACCATGGAGAAGGCCAGTTTAGGAAACTGAATCGGTAAATCCCCCAAACTTAGCAGAAATACAGAATGATGAAACGAGAAAGACAGGTAAATTAATTTGTACCATTACTTCTACTATGTTCACAATAAAAATGTACCCTTACCTATTATTAGCGAATAGAACTAATGTTTAGTAATTACCCATGCAGCACCACATACAAAGTGTGAATGTTTGCGATGAAAGAGACCACTGTGACGTTGGGTGTGACTGCGGCCTGACACAACGCGAGAGGGTCTATGTTCCCGCCCGAGGGTACATGCCGGAACGTACCCTCAGCTGTTACTACTAAATATGGTAATAGCCGGACCATTAACATCGGCCTACATTTCCATAACAGAGTCTAGGGGAGCTGCCGTATGCCTACTCCCTAACCTACTACCATATCAGATACGTTACCTTAGTAACTTTGATTCCGGCTATAAACCTTCCTAGTTGAGGTGAACCATACACCTTGCTGGCGTCCCTGACTGATGTCGAGGGTGTGTGTGTGTGTGGTGTGTGTGTGTGTGTGTGTGTGTGTGTGTTGTGTGTGTTGTGTGTGTGTGTGTGTGTGTGGTGTGTGTGTGTGTGTGTGTAGCTGTGTGTCATGCTCAACGCTCATAGGGATACCTATGTCCCCCAGGTACCTCTGGACCGGAACGTACCCCTGGTCACTATGGATATGGAAGGGTTACCGATAGGATTCAGTAGGGAGTAGGCGTAGGCGACTCCCAGGACTCCGTTATCGAAGTAGCCCGCTGAGGTTACGGTCTGGCATACCTAAATATACGACCAGGTAACGTCCAGTATCCGGCACGCGTAAACGCCCAGTACGTTCCGGCAGTTATCCTACCGGGGACATAGACCCTATCAAGCGACACTAATCACACCCCATCATCTTGAGACGTCGTGAGATTGTTTTACTGTGTAAACGTGATCCTGCTACAAAAATCATAATTTAGAGAAGTCGACTGATAAATAAATGTGTTCCAGAAAAAAACGCCGTTTCAGGTTTAAAAACCACCCATATCATATAGCCATCAGGCGCTCACAGTACACGATTTTCTAGGTTATCAGAAGTTTGCCGGCTGGACCCAAGTGAACGCATGTGAATGGAATATTGACGTCGGGGCCTGGTGTGGCGAGCGAAGATGTTGATGTCATCATCGAAACCAACCTGGTCACGTCAATAAAAGTTACCGTGAATAAGCACTACATTTTAAACGCATGCCCTGATGAAAAGCTGTCATAAATGTTGGCTTCACAGACACAACATTCTAAATACCACCTTGAACATGTCCCAAAATATCACGTTAGCATAAATAACCCTGTGAATTGATGAATCCATTGGAAACATGTAAAGAAACTGCCATCACTATTGCAATTTGAACACATCCATTCACGAATTGCTTGAACGTGTGTTTTATCATCACTGTACTTATTCATATTTTGCGCCCTGTCATACATCCCTGCGATAAAACAAATACTATGCTATGAAATAGGTGTATTTGAATAATGACGGAATTATTGCTCTTTACAGATGGCGCAAGTGAGATGTGATTTGTTTGCGTCCTATACAGGAAGAAG